GTAAAACCACACTGCGATATCACTCATGTCTATTCGAATGACCATCATAAAAAAAAACAAGAGATAACATGATGGCAAGAATGTGGAAAAAGGGAATGCTTGTGCATTGTTGGTAGATTGTAAATTGGTGCATCCACTATGGAAAGCAGTATGGCTTTCTCACGTTCCTCAAAAAATCAAATACTGAACTACCATATGATCTAGCAATTCCATTTCTGAAGTATATTCAAAGGTAATGAAAACACTACGTCGAAAAGATATCTGCACCCCTATGTTCATACCAGCATTATTTATAGAGGCCAAGACATGGAAACAACCTAATTGTCCATCGATGGGTGAATGGATAAAGAACATGTGATATATATATATATATATATATATATATATATATATATACACATACATACATATATAATGGAATATTATTCAGCCACAAAAAACAAGGAAATCCTACCATTTGTGACCACAGGGATGAGCCTTGAAGATATTTTGCTAAGAGAAATAAGACAGAGAAAGACAAATACTGTACTGTATGATTTAATTTATATGTGGAATCTAAAAAAAATAAAAACAAAAACCCCAAACTCATAGAAAAAGAGATCAGATTTTTGGTTACCAGAGGTAGAGAGTGGGAGGAGGGGAATAGGATGAAGATAGTCAAAAGGTACAAACTTCTTCCAGCTATAAGATAAATAAGTATTAACGATGTAATGTTACAACATGATGACTATAGTTAACACTGCTGTATGGCATGTAGGAAAGTTAAAAGAGTAAATCCTAAGAAGATAAACATTTTTCCCTTCTTTTTTTCTTCCTTTCCTTTTTATTGTACCTGTATGAGAAGATGGATGTTAACGAACGTATTGTGGTAATTATTTCACCTTATATGTAAATAAAGCCATCATGCTGTATGCTTTAAATTTAAATAGTGATGTATGTCAATTATTTCTCAAGACTGGAAAACAAGTGAGGATTATGCACAATAATTCCTTCAAATAGATAAGAAATAAATAGAAAGTTATAGAAATCCAGACTGCCTGAAATAGTATAAGCCTGTTAATAACAGAGCTACATAGCTCTAGCTATGCAGTTCTCTTGTGGATGAACTTTATGCAAGTTATTTAACTTCTCTGCAATTCACTTTTACTATTTCCACTGCCTTATATTCTCTATCCCTAGGTTTTCCTCTAGTTGGCTCTTCCTTATTTTTCTAACTTCAACTCAAATATCACATCCTTAAAGTGACCTTCTCAGATTACTCACTTTAAGTATCCAACCCTCCATCTTCATCACATTGTCCTACATTTTCTTCATAGTACTTTACACTATCCGAAATTACTTCATTTCATGAATTTGTTTACTTGGGGTTTGTCTGTCTCTCCAGAGACCAAGGACCTTACCTGTTTTGATCACTGCTATATTCTCACTGTCAGAATAGTACCTTGCATAAAGTGGGTACTCAAAAAATGTTAGTTGAATAAACAAGTGGCTGAATGAATGCCCATTTAAATCCTAGCTCTTCTGTGAAGACAAACATATAATGCATATAGATGTGAATTGAATCTTTAAAAGTACTCTGCATATAGAAACTGTAACAATAGTGATCTCTTTGACTGCTGTTTCCCTAATAACAACTCAGGCACACTTTTCAGTTCTACTTTCTTTAATCTAAGGTAAAAAACTTAAAACAAGTTGTATGAGTGTGACATCCTTAATTATATCCCTTTAAATATGGATATCCTGTGATCTGATGGTACACTTAAGACTTCATGAAGATTAAAGGGACTTTGTTGTTGTTTTGTTTAAGCATTGAACACTGGTTTCTGCAGAGTTCAAGCAAAACATGAGATATAATCTCAATATATCCCATAAATACTCAGAGAGGCTGAAGTGGAAAAAAGGAATGTCTGAAGAGACTTGTAGAAATTTTTTCCCCCACATAAATGGTATTGGGCTTGGTTTACAGTGCAGGAAAGATTTATCATAGATACTTAGTGGTGAAAAAAGACAGTATGGCTTCCACTGTAAGTACATTCCCTTTTAATGTGGAGATCAAACCTAGTGCTAACAACTGAGAAGACAAGACAGCCATCAGTAAAATATAATATGCACTTAGCTTCTGTTTGTCAATTGGAAGTTTTTCCTCTAAAAACCTAATTCAGCATAGTACAGAACAAGTTGTAGAAAAAAACCCAACTTGCACTGCTTCTCCTTTCATTAAGACAGATCATGCTGAGCCCCACACAGCTGGAGCCCCATGTTTAAGACCATCACATTGTACTTTCAGCAAACCTCTCAGCCACTGTTCTCATAATGAAATGCTTTCATAGGAATGAAGGGAGCAAAAAGCCTAGAAAAGAAGGAGACATGACAATACTTTGATTTTAAGTTGGAAAAAAAGCCATGACCTGTGTTTGAGCTACCCCTTTAAAAAGAATGACATACATTTATGACACCAGAAGAAAGAGCTTTGCCAAGGACTTCCAAACCATTTTAAAAAGAGGTATTTGTATTCTTTAAATGAATCCAAACTTATTTAACAACTGAATCTTTATGTTTTAACAAGATTTGGTTTTTAAATAGGGTCCTGCATTTCCAAGACTTCCACCATTGGAAAACTAATTTGTATGGCCACTATTTTTATTATCAAGCATTTTAATCTCAATTCACACATCAATTAATGAAATTAGAAAGGAGGAAAGTTGTCTTGCAGCAAACTCTTAGTTTACGTTATTTGTCCCCATAAGTGGTCAATTTAAATTTAGTGAACAGTGATGTGGTGGCAGAGGGACTGGAACTCTCCAAAGTTGTTTCCTCTAGACGTGGTTCTTCTTTGTACAGAATCTCCATTTCAGAGACCTTACCCATCCTTAGGACATGAGGTTTCACCTCTGGGAGATGGCTCTCAAGATCTCAATCTGTTGTCCTGGCTTCTTAAATACTAATCTAACTGGATATTTCTACTTAGATGTCCTATTATATCTTGAAATTTAATAAACCAGTTCACCTCCTCACTTTACCTCACCAATTATCTCTCACTGTCTCTCCCTTGTCTGTTAGTGGTATAATTGTCTCAGACACTTGGGCTCAAATCCTCAGACTCCTATTTGAAACTACCCTTTTACACATCATACCCATTCAACGGTCCTGTTAATTTCACCTCAAGTCTTTCAAATCTGCCATTTTCTTTTTAGTCACTTAGTCCAGGCCCATCTTTTACTATACTTGATCCCAGTGGGCTCAGGTATACAGCCTGCCCTTTAATGTCACTGTTATAGCTGGCTTTGGTAGCTCTGACTTTGAATCTTCTTGTTTGAATCCATTTCATATTCTTGCTGTCCAATTTTCTATCTAAAGGATCTTTTTTATTATGTCACTTATCTGTTGAAAAATAATAAATGCCTCCTGTTGTCTCCAAGATCAAGTCCAAATTCCTTAGTCTGTTATTTAAGGCCATCCATAATTCAGCCCCACCCTTTCATATAATCTTATTTGTCACTATGTCCCTAAATGGAAGACTCTAACCAGGTTGGTCTACTTAACCTTTGCTCATGCCATCACCTTACCTGAATGCCCTCTCCAACTGCTCTCTGTTTACTAAAAAATTATTTTCCCATAGCAAATACTTATTAGTTTGTTAGCTGACTAACATTTATTCTGATTTTAGTGACAATACAATTTCCTTCAGTGAATGATCTCATCTCATTTTAATACTTGACTGTTAACCAAGGTTTTCTCTCCTTCCTTATCTAAGAGACCTGCGTGCAACCGTAACAAGACAAACCAGACTCTCCCTCCTGGAAAGTGGAATCTTGAGCAGAATGTCCATAGACTGGATATTGTTGAAACTCATTTATTACAGTGGAGACAACCTGAGAGACTGGTGAGTATTTCTTGCTTACCTACATCTCTAGACTTATCTTGTCTACTGACTTCCTAAGTCTAGATCTCTAGACTGTCTGTTGATTCGTGAACACTCCCATTTCCTTCTAGAGATTTCTTTTTTATTAAAGAGGTAATTTCTGTTACTTGCACTCAAAATTCCTAATTGTCATCATTTCTAAAGGCCCCTTAAGCCCTTCCTGACACAAGTGGTCCTTCCCAGCTTGCAGTGATCATTCCTTCAGGTTAGCAACTGTAAATTTTAGTATATGCTCCATTCCTTTGGCATGTCTCAGTCAGTCACTAAGTATTTACTGAGCATTAACAATGAGCTTGGTTTTGTGCAACTGCATACTTTTAAAAATCTGTCAACTCATTTTATGAATATAGAATATTTTTACGGGTAGACTCTGGGTCCTTCAAAGTCAGAAACTCTCTCTCAAGCATAAAGGTTCCTTCTTTCGTGCTTGGCATGCACAGAAAACACATATTCTTACTGATTAACAAAAGCAGCTTCTTCCATTAAAGCTGCTTAAGAGGAATATAACTATAATATCAGGACTACTTGGTGTTAATTGAATTAGTCAATAAAAATACAATAACTGGAAACATAAAATATAGTTCTGAAGAACTCTTCATCATATCTTAACTTGCTTGCTAACTTGGTAGTTTTCATGCTAAAAATCATCAGTTAAGATGCTAATTTCTAGAAGTTGAGTGTACAATATCATCTTTTAGTGTACCACACAGCCATTTCCCTGAATCACTTTGAAACATTCCCAAGACATCAACCAGGTCATTCCCAAGAGCTGCCATTTGCATCATTCAAGCACACTGCTACCTTACATGATTGATAACCTAAAAGTCAGACAATGCAGTAGATTTATTTAACTTTAAACCCTATATACTATTTTAACTATAATTAGGGATTGGCATGGGGGGAATGAGAATTAACATTATATTTGCTTTAACAAAAATCCCAAATAACTATCAAGCAGTATAATGGAGATCCTGGTTGCTATTCTATCCAGGCAGACATGAATATTGGGGGAATAAGGAATAATGAGTCATAATCTACTGAAAACTAAGAGGGAGAAGAAAGAAAAGGAAGTACTCACCTTCTTTTCCAGTCTATCAATTAATTTCTGGAGTCTGTTTATCTGGGTCATCCACTGGTTATCTTCTTCTAATAAGCCTTGAGGGGAAAACCATGAGGGCAATATATTAAACTCTAGACAGAGCAGGAATGCTTTGGTGTCTCAGAGCTTTTCTTTTACCCTGAAGGAAGAACACGGTGTCACTGGCTAATCACCACATTTAAATATATATATATATTTATATTTATATTTATGTATATAGATAGATTCACATGAGTTCTTTCTAAGTTATTGATTTCCATAGATCCATGTATCCCAGTGGGTTCATTTTTATGTCTATTTTTTTTATGTTGTTGCCTACACTGGCCTTTGATATTCAAAAGAACAGATCCTGCTGAGCCATTTTTACCACCACATAATGTAGCTGATTTTTCTTTTAGAAAAAGGAAAGCACCAAGAAACAATTCTAAACTTACTTCTGGGGCAGTGGCAGGAGCCAGGGAAATCATAGCCATGAACACAGCAAGGGATAAATTATTAATCAAAAAGAAGTAGAAGAGCAAGGTAGCTGGTATCTCCTTCCCTAGGGACTAACCTGAGTGGACACTATGTTCATGGCATAGGAGTGAAGAGTACAAACTCTGGAGCCCGCTGATTTTGGTCAAATTACTTAACATCTCTGGTCTCACTTTTCTTATTTTTAAATGGGCATAATAATATCACAAGCCTCACTGTGAGGATTGTGTATATATACACATATGCATACATACATATGTGTATATATACACACACAAACATACATGTACTATGTATGTAGTATTTTTATTTTTTTATTTTTATTTATTTATTTATTTTGCGGTATGCGGGCCTCTCACTGCTGTGGCCTCCCCGTTGCGGAGCACAGGCTCCGGACGCGCAGGCTCAGCGGCCATGGCTCATAGGCCCAGCCGCTCCGCGGCATGTGGGATCTTCCCAGACCGGGGCACGAACCCGGGTCCCCTGCATCGGCAGGCAGACTCTCAACCACTTCCACCAGGGAAGCCCCCTAGTATTTTTAATATGTCTGTGTATACACACACACATCTCTATCTAACAGCAGGATAAACATTATGTAAGTTCTGCTGCTATTATTGTTGCTGTTATATATGTTATTATGCAAAGGCAAGAAGGAGTAAGTTGTGGTGTGAGCCCCTGCACAAACATCCTGGTATCCTTGTGTATCCTTATGGCAGCTTGCTCAAAATATTTTCACAGACATTTGCTGAAGTAATAGTTTTTAATATTTCCTGATAGAAGAATGTGATTGAATTTAAGACTATAAAGCCTTGTTTTAGCTTTGAATGTTAGGAAGATAAGACCTAAATTATAAGGGGGTAGTACTTTACATTAGAATTCACTTCTCCACCTGCCGTCTTCAGTGAAGCTCCTCTCAAAGCCCACCAAATAAATTATGATGCAAAAAGAAGCAGTAGCATTGCCACAAAGAAGTGGCTACTAAAAATGAGTGCTTTTACAATAAAATATTATAAATATGTAAACAAAGTTTATGTTTATATTTTAATTTGCAAAGTAGTTAACATCTTTCCATTCTAGGTTGCTCCTAAAAGAATTTAAGGCAGCTATCACAACAAAGTCCCATAAAAGGATATTTTGGGCTTAATACTGTTTTCTAAATGAAAAATGGAAAGAACAATCTATGGTTTAATTTTCTTTAAACATCTTTATTGGAGTATAATTGCTTTTAAATGGTGTGTTAGTTTCTGCTGTATAACAAAGTGAATCAGCTATACATAAACATATATCCCATGTTTAATTTTTTATATTCCACATACAAGTGATAATATTTAGTATTTGTCTTTCTCTTTCTGACTTATTTCACTCCAGGTCCATCCATGTTGTTGCAAATGGCAATATTTCATTCTTTTTTATGGCTGAGTCATACTCCATTGTATACATACATATGTGTGTGTATGTGTGTATATATATATATATATATATATATATATATATATATCACTTCTTCTTTATCCATTCATCTGTTGATGGACACTTAGTTTGCTTCCATATCTTGGCTATTGTAAATAATGCTTCTACGAATGCTTCTAATAATGCTTCTATGAATGCTTCTATGAATATTGAATTATGGTTTTCTCAGGGTATATGCCCAGTAGTGGGATTGCTGGGTCGTATGGTAGTTCTATTTTTAGTTTGTTAAAGAACCTCCATACTGTTTTCCATAGTGGCTTTATCAATTTACATTCCCACCAACAGTACAAGAAGGTTCCCTCTTCTCCACACCCTCTCCAGCATTGATTGTTTGTAGATTTTTGATGATGGACATTCTGACTGGTGTGAGGTGATACCCCATTGTGGTTTTTATTTGCATTTATCCAATGATTAGTGATGTTGAGCATCCTTTCATGTGTTTGTTGGCAATCTGTATATCTTTTTTGGAGAAATGTCTATCCATCTGTTTGTCTCATCTTCAATTACTTTCGTCAGTTTTTGAAGTACAGGTCTTGTACCTCCTTAGTTAGATTTATTCCTAGGCATTTTACTCTTTTTGATGGAACCATAAAGGGAATTGTTTTCATAATTTATATTCTGATACTATGTTTTTAGTGTATAGCAATGCAACAGATTTCTGTATATTCGTTTTGTAACCTGAAACCTTACCAAATTCATTGTTGAGTTCTGGTAGCTTTTTGGTGGTGTCTTTAGGATTTCTTATGTATAGTGTCATATCATCTTCAAATATTGACAGTTTTACTTCTTCCTTTTCAGTATGCATTCCTTTTATTTCTTTTTTTAGTCTGATTTCTGTGACTAGGACTTCCAATACTACGTTAAACAGAAGTCGTGAGAGTGGGCATCCTTGTCTTGCTCCTGATCTTAGAGGAAATGCTTTCAGCTTCTCCCCATTGAGTATGATGTAGGTTGTAATATATGGCCTTTGTTTTGAGTATGATGTGGGTTGTCATATACGGCCTTTGTTTTGTTGAGAAATGTTCCCTCTATATCCACTTTCTGGAGAGTTTTTATCATAAATGGATGTTGAATTTTGTCAAAAACTTTTCTGCAGTTATTGAGATGATTATATGAATTTTATTCTTTAGTTTCTTAATATAATGTATGACATAGATTGTTTTGCAGATATTGAAGCATCCTTGCATCCTTGAGATAAATATATTACTTGATCATGGCTCATGATTCCTTTCATGTATTGCTCAATTTGTTTGCTAACATTTTATTGAGGATTTTTACATTTATGTTCATATTGGCCTGAAGTTTTCTTTTTGTGTGTGATATCTTTTCAGGTTTTGGTATCAGGGTGATGCTGGCCTCACAGAATGAGTTTGAAAGTGTCCCTTCCTCTGCAATTTTTTGGAATATCTTGAGAAGAATAGGTGGTAACTCTTTTCTAAATATTTGGTAGAATTCATCTGTGAGGATAACTGCTCCTGGACTTTTGTTTCTTGGGGGCAGTTTTATTACTGTCTCAATTTCATTCCTGGTATTTGGTCTGTTCATATTTTCTGTTTCTTCTGAATATGTTCATTTCTTCTACATTGTCCATTTTATTGGCATATAATTGTTCATGGTAACCTCTTATGATCCTTTGTATTTCTCTGGTGTTGGTTATAACTTCTGTTTTATTTCTGATTTTAATGATTTGGGTCCTCTCTCTTTTCCTTGATGAGTCTTGATAAAGGTTTATCAATTTTGTTTATCTTTTCAAAGAACCTGCTCTTGCTTTCATTGGTCTTTTGTTTTTGGTGTTTTGTTTTTTTTTTTTACTGTTTTTAAGTCTCAGTTTTATTTATTTCCTCTCTGATCTTTATGATTTCTTTCCTTCTAATAAATTCAGGTTTTGTCTTTTCTTCCTTTCCTAGTCCTTTAGGTGTAAGGTAAGGTTATTTATGTGAGATTTTTCTTGTTCCCTCAGGTAAGCTTGTATTGCTATAAACTTCCTCTTAGAACTGCTGCTGCTGCATCCCATAGATTTTTGATCATTGTGTTTCCATTTTAATTTGTCTCCATTTATTTTTTGATTTCTTCTTTGATTTTTCCAGCAACCCATTGTTTTTTTATAGGCATATTCTTTAGCCTCTATGTGTTTGTGTTTATTTGCACTTTTTTTTCTTGATTTCTAGTCTCATAGCATTGTGGTTGAAAAGTTGCTTAATATTATTTCAGTCTTCCTAAATTTACTGAGACTTATTTTGTGGCCTAGCATGTGATCTATCCTGGAGAATGTTCCATGTGCCCTTGAAAAGAATGTGTAATCTGCTGCTTTTGGATGGAATGTCCCATATATACATCTGTTAAATCCATCTTGTCTAAGGTGTTGTTTAAGGTCAGTGTTTCCTTATTGATTTTCTGTTTGGATAATCTGTCCATTGATGTAAATAGGGTGTTTAAGTCATCCCTTAGTATTATTGTGTTATCATCAATTTCTCCCTTTATGTCTGTTAATATTTGCTTTACATATTTAGGTGTCCTACGTTGGGTTTATATATATTTACTTTTGTTATATCTTCTTCTGGGATTGATCCCTTGATCATTATGTAATGTCCTTTTTCTCTTTTTACAGTCTTTGTTTTGAAGCATACTTTGTCTAATATAAGTATTGCTACCCTAGGTTTTTTTGCATTTTCTTTTGCATGGAATATCTTTTTTCCATCCCCTCATTTTCAGTCTGTCTGTGTCTTTAGATCTAAAGTGAGTCTCTTATAGGCAGCATACCTATGGATCTTGTTTTGGTTTCCAAGCAGCCATTCTATGCCTTTTGATTGGAGCACTTAGTTATTGACATTTAAAGAGATTATCAATCGGTGTGTACTTATTGCCATTTTGTCAATTGTTTTGGGATTTTTAAAGTTCTTTTTTGTTCCTTACTTCTTTTTTTTGCTCCCTTCCCTTATGATTTGATGACTTCCCTTGTGATTTGATCTTTAATGTTATGTTTGTATTCCTTTCTCTTTTGTTGTGTGTACATCTATTATAGATTTTTGGCTTGTGGTTACCATGAGTTTTATATATATATATATATATATATGACTATTTAAAGTCACCTATATATATATATATAAATATATCAGTGTATATATATATATATATATATATATATCCGTGACTTTAAATAGTCATATATATATATATATATATATCCGTGACTATTAAAAGTTGTTAATCTTTTAAGTTCAAACCCATTTTAACAACTCTGCATTTTTACTCCCATGCCCGCATTTAATGTTTTTGACATCATATTTTACATTTTTGTATTTTATATCCCCTAACTATTGTGGATATAGATGATTTTACTACTTTTATCCATTAACCTTCCTACTAGCTTTATATGTGGTTGATTTATTATCTTACTACATATTTCCCTTTACTAATGAGATTTCTCCTTTCATAATTTTCATATTTCTAGTTGTGGCTTTTTCTTTTCTGCTTAGAAAAGTCCCTTTAACATTTCTTGTGAAGCTGGCTTGGTGGTGATGCTGTCTTTTAGCTTTTTCTTGTTGTAAAACTTTTGATCTCTTCTTCAAATCTGAATGAAAGCTTTGCTGTATAGAGTATTCTTGTTTACAGGTTTTCCCCTTTCATCACTTTAAATGTATCATGTCACTTTTCCTGGCCAGAAGAGTTTCTGCTGATAAGTAAGCTGATAGCCTATGGGAGTTCCCTTATATGTAATTTGTTGCTTTTCCCTTACTGCTTTTAATATTGTCTCTTCATCTTTAATTTTTGCCATTTTATTATAATGCTTCTCAGTGTGTCACTTTGGGTTGAACCTGTTTGGAACTTTCAGTCATTCCTGGACCTGAATTACTGTTTCCTTTCCCAAATTAGGGAAGGTGTCAGTACTGTGTTCAACTATGTTCTCTGCCTGTTTCTCTTTCTCTCTCTCTATTGTCTTCTGGGACCCCTATAATGCAAATATTAGTACACTTGATGTAGTCCCAGCGGTCTCATAAATAGTTCTATTTCTTTTCTCTTTCTCTCTCTCTATTGTCTTCTGGGACCCCTATAATTCAAATATTAGTACACTTGATGTAGTCCCAGTGGTCTCATAAATAGTTCTATTTCTTTTTTTTTCCTTTCTTCCATTCAGCTTGAGTGATTTCACTACTCTGTCTTCCAGCTTGCTGATTTGTTCCTCTGTAGTATCCAATTTATTGTTGATTCCTTCTAGTGCATTTTTAATTCCTTCTAGTGCATTTTTAATTTCAGTTTTGTATACTTCATCTCTGTTTGGTTCTTCTTTACATTTTCTATCTCTTTGTAAAAACTTCTGACATTTCTATCTCTTCGTAAAAACTTCTGACTTCTGACATTTCCCTCTGTTTTGTTTATCCAAACTCTTCTCTCAGGTTCTTTGAACATCTCTATGATAATTAACTTGAACTCTTTATCAGATACATCACTAACCTCCACTTCACTTAGTTCTTCTTCTGGAGTTTTATCTTGGTCCTTCATTTGGGACTAATTCCTCTATCACCTCATTTTGCCCAATTTGCTGTTTTTATTTCTAAGTATTTGGGAGGTTTGTTACATTTCTTGACTTTGAAGAGGTGTCCTTTTGTAGGAGATGTCCTATGTGTACCTGTGGTGCACTCCTCTATGGTCACCAGAGCTACATGCTTTAGGAGTGCCCCCTTTTTGTGTTGTGCGGGTCCTTCCATTTTGGCTGACTGACTACTGTGGCTGATCTAGTTGGTGTGGCTAGCCCCTGTCTGGTTGATTGCCAGGCCTTGCCTTGGGCAGAGGATGCCAACTACTTGTGGGCAAGGGCTGGTCATGACATGGCTGACCACAGTGTCCTGGGATTCCTGGGGCTAGTGCTGGACCAGTGGCAGGTGGATCTTGGTGCTGAGGTGGGTGGCTGTAGGGCCACAGGTGCCAGATCTAGTCTTGCCCTACTCGTGTATGAGGCAAGTTCCAGACATGGCTTGCTGCAGGGTCCAGGATGTCCCAAAGCTGGTGTCAGCCTGCTCATGAGTGAGGCTGGATCCCAGGGCAGCTGGCTGAGGGGTTCAAGGTGTCTCAGAGCTGGTGTCTCAGAGCTGAGGCCTAAAGGGTTGGAGTCAGCTTACTAGTGGGCTGCAATGAGGCCTTGAGCATACCAATCCTAATTCCAGCTCACTGGTGGGCAGACTCGGGTTCCAGGGTCTCTGAATTCTGGGTCCTGAGGGTACCAGAGTTGATGTGTAGGCTTGTTGGTGGGTGGGTCTAAGTCCCAGGGGATCCTGGGGCTGGTGCCTGCTCAATGGTGGGTGAGGCTAGTCCTAGGGCTAGTGCCAGCCCATTGGTCAGTAGAACTATGTCTCAGGGTCTCTGGCTGCAGACCCCTGGTGGGGGGGTTTTCCCAGATTTGGTGTCAACCCACTGTGGATGAGGTTGGGTCCCAATGGCAGACTGTGGGGCCCTGTGATTTCTTGAGGCTAGTGCCAGTGCTTTGGTGGGTGAGGCCAGGTCCTGAGCCCTCTGGTGAGTAGGATTGGGTCCTGGAGCCACTGTAGACTCAGGGATTCTTAAGTCAACCAGCTTGCTGGTGGGTGAGCCTGTGTCCCCACCTGACTAGCTGCTTGTCTTGAGGCATCTTAATTCTAGTGCTCACAAGCTGGTGGGCAGGGACAGGTCTCAGCACTAATTAGCTAGAAGAAGGATTCCAAAGTGGTGCCTGCCATCATTAGTGTCCTTGTGGTAGAATGAGCTCCCCAAAATAGCTGCCACCAGTGTCTGTGTCCCCAGGATGAGTTACAGTTGCTTCCTGCCTCTCCAGGAAGCTCTCCAAGATCAGCAGGTAGGTCTGACTCATTCTCTTTTCAAGTCACTACTTCTTACCTGTATCCCAGAGCATGTGAGAATTTTTGTGCACATTTTAAGAGTGGAGTCTCTATATCCTACAGCCTTCTGGCTCTCCCCAAGGTGAACCCTCCTGGCCTTCAAAGTCAAATGTCTGGGGGTTTGATTTCCTGGTGCAGAACCCCAAGCTGTAGACCCTGATGTGGGGCTTGAACCCCTTGCTCACTTGTGGAGAAGCTCTGTGATTGTAATTATCATTTCATTTGTGGGTCACCCTCTTAGGTATATGGATCTTGACCATACCACTTCTCTGCCCCTCCTACCCATCTTGTTGTGATTCCTTTTAATGTATCTAGTTGTGGAATATCTTTTCTGCTAGTCTTCTTGTCTTTCTCATCAATAGTTGCTCTGTAAATAGTTGTAATTCTGATGTGACCATGGGAGAAGGTGAGCTCAGTGTCTTCCTACTCCACCATCGTGGCCACTACTACAGTGGTTCTAAATGAGCTTCATGATTTTTCCTGTACTTTTGATACTGACCAGGAGAAGATATTGCCCCAAGTAGTCCCTGATCCTAAGAAGCTACATGAGGAGTAGAGCTGAATCCAACCTACAAGCTGGAGCCACATCCAGCTGAGATCACTCAAATCACAGTCAAACATAGACCCATGAGAGAAAAGAACCAAATATTTCCAGTTGTAATCACTGAGATTTTGAGGTTGTTTCACTGTAAAAAATGACTAATGATCCTTTACCCCTAGACAAATAGCTTTACTTTCTGGGGAGATGGAGATACTAACATCTATCTTATAAGGTGTTAGGATAAAATAAGACAGTGTTCAAGAAAGCACTTTGAAATCTTTCAAGTACAATCTGTGTAAATACAGACTATATCTATACATTGATTTTCTGAAATGGTAGATATTTAAATATTCATTTATGTTAAAATGACATGTTCAAGTGATATGTGCAGGTACATACAGATACATATATACATACATATGCATATATATTCATACTTTATAAAAATTACTCTACTTAACAACATAAATTTTCATATTTCAAAGTATTTTAAAGTAATTAATATAAATTACATGGTTAAAATATGATGACCTAATGAATATTATTGAGGTCTCAATCATATACTACATTATGCACTTCAAAAGCCACTATAATTTTAGTCCTGTTATGAAAGGAAACAATAACCTTTTTCTAAAATGAATTTAGAGTATGCTTAACTAGGCTTGGGGATCTGGGATTAGGGTGCAGACTAAAGGGCACCTCCTTTGCTTGGAGATGATGATGATTTCTATAGGTCTTAAGTCTTTCACATATTAGGTGATTGAGTCACTTTCTTCCCTACCCAACATGTCTCTGTGTACTGCCCAAGTACAACTGCTAGGATTCTGACAGAACTGATGATTAGGATCACCACCCTAGTTCTTAATATCTTAGACCTTTACCACTTTGGTTTCAGACAAACTTGTTCGGTGTAAGAAAAGCATTCCATTATTATTGTTTTAGCTGCCTTTTGGTCCTTTTTAAATAAGTCAATATGAAGATACAATTGAGTCAACTTCAAGAAAAATGACAAAGTTTCATTACCTGCACCATAGACATTAAACTGAGGGCTGTTGGGGGAGAAGATTTTGTGTCTCTGGACTCGACGACTTGATCGTTTTCCAGGCCATTGAATCGACAGGACTTCTGGTTTGGTTGGCCCTTGTCTTGAACAACAAAGACAATATTTAACCTCAGTGTCAGGGCTTCAGTCTTTTACCTCAAGGAACACATCTTCAAAGATCAGACACAAATATTTTCTAGTGTAGTGAAATGAAAATTTATGAGAACTATGGCTTGGCAACATGGTCTAGAGATACCTGGTAATGTGGCATTATAAGTGAAACTAAGGAAAAGAGGGGGGAACATGGCAGAGTAGAAGGACCTTGAGCTCACCTCCTCTCACTAAACTCAATATTTTGTAATAACCTATAAAGGAAAAGAATCTGAGAAAGAAAAAAATATATATATATATAACCGAATCATTTTGCTGTACACCTGAAACCAACACAACATTGTAAATCAACTATACTTCAATAAATTATTTTTAAAGTTATTAAGCAGAAAAAAAAAGAAAATACATTGGGCTTTTTTTATTCTTGTAATTTAAAAGTTTGAGTAAAAAATCATACCTTGATTTGTAATTTAAGAAAAACTAGTTTCTTTTATTGCCCAAATTATCAATGGAAAGAATGCTTATTTGTACACTTCCATAGTATTTTGTTTAGTTTGAGAACACCTATGGAGTTTGTTTTTCCTTTTATTCAGTTTTTAACTTAACTGTTTAAATCAAAGCTAAATATCCATATAGTTAAAAAGTCAAATAATTCTATAAACTTTTTTCTACAAACAGGTTCTCCCCTTCACCATATTGTGCCCTCATTCTCCTTATACAAAGGCAACACTTTTCAACAAGTGTTTATTTGTGTTTATCTATATATAACAATACTATCTCTTGGGGAGGTGTGACCAAGATGGTAAAGTAGGGAGACTCTGAGCTCACCTCCTCCCATGGGCACAACAAACTTACAACAATTTACAGAGCCACTATTGACAGCAACAATCTGAAGACTAAAAGAAAAGATTTTCCACCACTAAAGGAACCACGATGAGATGAGTGGGACAAATGGAGATGCAGTATAGTCAAGATCCACACCCCTAGGTAGGCAACCCACAAAGAGAAAGAAAACCACAATTGCAGAGGTTCTTGCCAAGAAGAAAGGGGTCCAACTACCACATTGAGCTCCCAAGCCTGGGGTTCTTTACTGGAAAGATGAGCCCCCAGAACATCTGGCTTTGAAAGCCAGTGGTGCTTGCATACAGGAGACCTGGAGGGCTGTAGGCAACAGAGACTCCATTCTTAAAGGGTACAAACAAAATCTCACACAATCTGAGATCCACAGTGAAAGAGTAATTTAAAAGAATCCTGGGTCATACCCAAGCTCTCCAGCTGATCTTGGAGAGCTTCCCAGAGAGGCAGGAGGTAACTGCAACTCTCCCTAGGGATACAGAGAGTGGTAGCAACCTTTTTTAGGAACCTGCTCTACCACAAGGACACTGGTGCTGGCAAGCACCATTTTGGAATCCTCCCTCTCGCATATTAGTGCTGGGGGTTTACCTGTACTTTAGCAAATTGGCATCCATCCTGGGAACCACAAACCCAGCAGCCAGCCACAAGAGACCCAGCTCTTCCCACCATCTGCCCCAGGACCTGGTCTGTCCCAGTCCCAGGTACCTTGGACCACACAGCTATCTGCCCTGAAACCCAATGCTGCCCAACAGTGGACTGGCACCAGCCCTGGGACTCCCCAGACCATGCAGCTAGCCACACTGGGACCTGGCCCTGCCCATCAGCTACTACAAAGCTGGGCCTAGTAGCCAACTGGGCCAGAGAAAAGCCCCACCTGCCAGTACACCCATAGTAATTGGTCCCACTATAACAGAAGGGCCCATGCAGCCCACATAGTGGGTATGCCTAGAGTATATAGCTCTGGTGAACAGAGGCAAGTGTTTTGCCAGGCCCAATATGATGTCTTCTATAGAAGTCCACTTCCTCAAGATCAGGAAACATAACTGACCTACCTAATACATAGAAATAAAACAAAGAATTTGGCAAAATGAGGTGACAGAGGAATATATTCCAAACGAAGGAACAAGATAAGACACCAGAAGAAGAACTAAGCAAAGTGGAGATAAGCAAACTACCCAATAAAGAGTTCAAGCTAATAATCATAAAGAGGTTCAACAAACTCAGGAGAAGAATGGATGCACACAGTGAGGAATTTCAGTTAGATAAAAAAACTAAACACAGCTGAAGAATACAATAACTTAAATAGAAATACACGGAGGGAATCAAGAGTAGAGTAGATGATACAGGAGGAAATGGATAAGTGCCTGGAAGACAGAGTAGTGGAAATCACCAAGGCTGAACAGAAAAAAGGAAAAATAATTTTAGAAAATGAAAATAGTTTAAGAGAACTCTGGGACACCATCAAGGTAACTAACATTACCATTACAGAGGGCCCAGAAGGAAAAGAGAAACAGAGGAAGAAAACTTACTTGAAGAAATAAAGGCTAAAAACTTCCATAATCTGAGAAAAAACAACAGACATCCAAGTCTAGTAAGAATAGAGGATCCCAAACAAAATGAGCTCAAAGAGATCCACACCAAGACAAACTGTAATTTAAATGGCAAAAGATTATAGATAAAAAGAGAATCTTAAAAGCAGCCAGAGAAAAGCAACTAGTTATGCACAAGGGAACTCCCATAAGACTATCAGCTGACTTTTCAGCAGAAACTTTTCAGGCCACAAGCAAGTGGTAAGATACATTTAAAGTGATGAAAGAAAAAACTTACAATCAAGAAGACTCTACCCGGCAATGCTATTATTCATATTTGAAGGAGAGATAAAGAGTTTTACAGACAAGCAAAACCTAAGAGTTCAGCATCACTAATCTAGCTTTACAACAAATGTTAAAGGGACTTTTCTAAGTGAAAAAGGAAAGACCACAACTAGAAATATGAAAATTATGAAAAGAAAATCTCATTGGTAAAGGAAAATATGCAGTAAAGGTGGTAGATCAACCACTTATACAGCTAGTAATAAGGTTATAGGACAAAAGTAGTAAAATCATTTATAACCACAATAAGTAGTTAAGAGATTTACAAAAGAAAAGGATATAAAATATGAAGTCAAAAACATTAAATGTGGCAGGGGGAGTAAAAATGCGTTGTTGTTAGAATGTGTTTCAACTTAAGAGATCAGCACGTTTAAATAATCACAGATATATATATAGGTTATTATATATAAATGCCATGGGAACTGCAAACCAAAAATCTATAAAGAGATATACACACACAAAAAAGAAAGGAATCCAAACATAGCATTAAAATATTCATCAAATCAAAAGGGAAAATAGCGAAAGAGCTAAGTTACTAAAAAGAACTATACAAAACCCCCAAACAATTGACAAAATGGCAATAAGTACATATCTATCAATAATTACTTTAAATGTAAATGAACTAAATCCTCTAATGAAAACACAGAGAGTGGCCTAATAGATTTAAAAAAAAAAAAACAAGACCTGTATATGCTGTTTACAAGAGACACACTTCATATCTAAAGATACAGTTGCTGAAAGTGAAGGGATGGAAAAAGTATTCCATGCAAATGGAAATGAAAAGATAGTTGGGTTAGCAGTACTTACATCAGACAAAATAGACTTTAAACAAAGATTGTAAAAAAGGGACAAAGAAGAACATTACATAATGATAAAAATCAATTAAATAAAAAGATATAGCAAATGTAAATGTATACACACCCAACATAGGAGCAATTAAATACATACAGCAAATATTAACAAACATAAAGGGAGAAATTGACAGTAATACAATAATACTAGGGAACTTGTAAGAGCTGGTTCTTTGAAAAGATAAACAAAATTGATAAACCTTAATCCAGACTCATCAAGAAAAAAAGGAGGGCCCAAATCAATAAAACCAATAAAATCAGAAGAAAAAAAAAAGGGGGGAAGATACCACTAACATCACTGAAATACAAAGGACCATTAAGAGATTACTAGAACAAATACTTGCCAACAAATTGGGAAACCTAAAAGAAATGGACAAATTCCTAGAAACATACAATCTCCCAAGTATGAATCAGGAAAAAATAGAAAATATAAACAGACAAATTACCAGTAATAAAATTAAATCAGCAATCAAAAAAACTAAAAACCTCCCAAATAACAAAAGTCTAGGACCACATGGCTTCACAGGTGAATTCTAGCAAACACTTAAAGAAGAATCAACACCAATCCTTCTCAAACTATTCTAAAGATTGCAGAGGAAGTTAAGCTTCTGAACTCATTCTATGAAGCCAGCATCACCATGATACCAAAACCAGCCAAAGACACCTTGAAAAAAGAAAATTACAGGCCAATATCACTGATGAACATAGATGCAAAAATCCTTCACAATGTATTAGCAAACTAAATTCAACAAAAGACTCATACACCATGATCAAGTGGTATTTATCCCAGGTATGTAAGGATGATTCAATATCAAAACAATCTATGTGATACACTACATTAAGAAATTGAAGAATAAAATTCATATAATCATCTCATAGATGCAGAAAAGTCTTTTAACAAAATTCAACAACGATTTATGATAAAAACTCTCCAGAAAGTGGATATAAAGGGAATATTCCTCAACAAAGTAAGGCCATATATGACAACCCACAGCTAACATCATACTTAATGGTGAAAAGCTGAGAGTATTTCCTCTAAGATCAAGAGCAAGATAAGGATGCCCACTCACAACTTCTATTCAATATAGTATTGGAAATCGTAGCCAAAGCAATCAGACAAAAAGAGAATCCAAATTGTAAAGAAAAAAGGAAAACTTTCACTGAAGATGACATGATACTATATATAGAAAATCCTAAAGATGCCACCAGAAAACCTACTAGAACTAATAAATGAACTTAGTAAATTTGCAGGATAAAAAAAATACTATACAGAAATCTATACACTAACAATGTTTCTATATACTAACAACAAACTATCAGAAAGTGAAATTTAGAAAACAAGCCCATTTATTACAATTGTATCAAAAAGATTAAAATTTCTAGGAATATATCTAACCAAAGAGGTAAAAGTACTA